TAAGGAACGCCTCAGCAGTATTCCAGCGGATCATGGATGCGGTATTGCGGGATATAGAGCATGCGGCATGCTATATCGATGACGTGGTGGTCTTCAGCTTAACCGAACAGCAGCACCTGGAGGACGTGGAGAGGACACTGAGTGCCATAGAGGGGGCAGGGCTCACTTGCCATCCCAACAAATGCAGATGGGGGGAGCAGACCGTGCAATACTTGGGGTATGAGGTCACAGGGGGACAAATCGGGATCCAGCAAGCGAAGGTGCAGGTGCTGGACAGGTTAAGGGAACCCAGAGACAAGTCCGGGCTGCGGGCGGTCTTGGGCTTCCTCAGCTATTACAGACGCTTCGTGCCTAACTTCAGCAAGAGAGCAACGGTGCTGAACGGGATGCTGCGGGAAGACAAGGCATGGGAGTGGGGAGAGAAACAGAGGGAGGCGCTGCAAGACCTGATGACCGCGGTGAAGACGGCGACAGTGCTGCGGCTGCCAGCAGCAGACCAGCTCTTCGTCCTCTACACCGACTGGAGCAGTCAGGGGATGGGGGCAATACTGTGCCAGGAGGTAGAGGGAGTGGAGAAGGTAGTGGCTTACGCCAGCAGGAGCTGCAACCCGGCTGAAGCACAGTACAGCTCGTATATCGGGGAGGGGCTGGCGGCGGTATGGGCAGTGGGGCATTTCCGAGTATATCTACAGGGTAGGGAGTTCACCCTGGTGACGGACCATCAGCCCCTCACATGGCTGATGACCACACCAGGGCTGACGGGCAGGAACGCGAGGTGGGCAGTAAAGCTGCAAGAGTATGACTTTAAGATAAGGCACAGGCCGGGAAAGACACTACAGCATGTTGACGGTCTCTCTCGCAACCCACCACCACTAGAGACAGACCAGAAGGCAACGGAAACGGAACGGACAGAGCTGGAGCCAGCGCATACCTTGATTCTGCTGGCGAGAGAGGTGGAGCAGAACGGTGCGAAGGGGAGTAAGGGGCCAGCTGACATTTGGCAGGATACAAAGGCACTGGAATGGGTGAAGGGAGAGACCGAGGAAGATGAGACAGTGTCTGAAAGGGTGAGGGCACGAGGGCATCACTACAGGTGGTTTCAACAGCAGCTGCAGATAAAAACAGAGGACGGCTGGAAGCTGGTGCCAGCGCCAGAGGAGCGTGAAGCAGTGATCAGGGAGGTGCACACTAAGCTGGGACATTTCGGCCACGAGAGAACTGTACACCTGCTGAAAACAGGCTGGTGGTGGGAAGGGATGCGCCGGCAAGTGAAAGAGTGGGTAGAAGGGTGCGAGGCTTGTCAGAGGAGCAAGGCGAACCTCACTCAGGCCAAGGCCGAACTGCAGTCATTGCCCATCTGTGGTTTGGGATTTCGTTGGTCCTTGGACCTAGCGGGAGAGCTGCCACTGAGCAGGAGCGGGAACCAGTACATAGTGCTCATGGTTGAGCACGTGAGCAAATGGCTGGAGGTGAGAGCCATTCCTAGCAAGAGCGCAAGGCACATTGCAGCGGCTTTCAAGGCTCAGGTAGTGTGTCGATTCGGAGCGTGCGGGGAAGTGCTCACAGATCAGGGCACAGAGTTCCAGGGAGAGTTTAAGCAGTTGCTGCTGGAATCTGGCATCACGCACCGACGTACCTCCCGCTACCACCCGCAAAGCGACGGGCTGACTGAGCGCATAGTCCAGACCATCAAGCGAGGGCTGCGGACCTACGGGGAGCAGAGAAAGAGGGATTGGGATGATGAGTTGGACTGGATAGCAGCTGGGTACAGATTCGGGAAGCAGGCAGCGCTGAAGGATCACTCTCCGTACAGCCTACTCTATGGACGAGAGCCAATTCTGCCAGTAGGGGCACCACGGGTTCTGACAGACACAGTGACAGCGGGCACGATCAGGAACTGGGTGGCCCTGTCTGATGTCCGAGCACGCTACATGCGCTTCATGATGCCAGCCGCGCTGGAGAACCTGCACACCGCGCAGCTGCGAGATGCCAGGAGATATGAGCAGAGGCAACGCAAAGGAGAAGGGAAAGTGCAGAAGGGCGTATGTGAAGGACAGGAAGTCTATCTGAAAAGAGCGAAGCAGGACACCCTGGATGTGGGATTGGGGACAGTGCGTTGGAGAGTCAAGGAGGTGCGCCCTTCAGGAGTGCTGGTGCTGGAAAATGAGAAAGGGGCGCAGCTGAAGGAACACCAGACGAACACGGCTGTGATAAGGGGAACCGGGCCTCAGCGTACTGGTCCTGTGACCCGCGCTCAAGCTGCTCGAGCACGGGCACAGGAGGGGGCAGGGAGTGGCTGAGGCAGCACAAGAAGCCAAAGAGAGGAAAAGCATCAGATTACAGGACAAATGACAGGCAGAGCTGTTTCACAGGTGGCAGGCAGAGCTGTTTCTCCGACAGCTGTCACCGAATTGCCAGTTTTGCTGCGGTGTAGTTTCAAGTGTAATATGACTGTATGTGAAGATCTGGGGTGTAGGTAGTTGGGGACCAGGGAGAGTGTCGCGAAGTTGGTAGGAGAGTTCCGAGGAGTGCAATCCAATGAACCAATGTGGATGCACCAACCCAGGCTCGAAGCGCACATTGAGAAATGCACGCTTCGAGCCTAGGCCAGGTAAATCCACTCTCACACACACACTCGTTGCTTTCCGTTTGTTATCCTTTCGTATAGTGGATCATTGTTACCTTCATCTTACAGCTAGGTGACACACCACTCAGGGAGGACCCTTGGGGTGGGAGCTCTGTCTCTTTCATAACAAACGGAAAGGAGTGTGCGCGTGTGCAAGGATGGACGGGTATGAGCTGCGTTATGGCAGGACCCTTGGGGTGGGAGCTCTGTCTCTTTCATGGCAGGGAGTGGCTGAGGCAGCACAAGAAGCCAAAGAGAGGAAAAGCATCAGATTACAGGACAAATGACAGGCAGAGCTGTTTCACAGGTGGCAGGCAGAGCTGTTTCTCCGACAGTGCGTGCGTGCGTGCGTGCGTGCGTGCGTGCGTGCGTGCGTGCGTGCGTGCGTGCGTGCGAGTTGAGGGAGAAGAGGCTCTGCTAGGTGCCTCCCTCACCAAGTTCGACTATTGTTTTAGGTGCAAGCATCAAGGTTCATCGTGGAGTAGCTGCAAACCTGTAGAATTCACTTAGGTTCAAGTTCGACTATTGGTTTAGGTGCATCAAAGACTGACAAAAAAAATGGTTACGAGGTGACTTTTGAGTCGACTCAAAAGTCACCTTGGTTTAGGTGCATCAAAGACCGAAAAAATAATGGTCGAACTTTGATGGTCTTCGACCATCAAGGACCGACAACCAACCGTCCACGTTCTGTCAGTGTTAAACAGGTGGGCTGCGGAGGTCTTATGTCCATCAACTTAAACTGTATCTTAGGACGACGACCAACCGTCACCATCAAGGACCGACAACCAACCGTCCACGTTTTGGCTCGCCACGCCCTTCCCACTTCTCTTGCCCCCTCTTCACCTCTTCCCCCCTTCAGCCCATCGTCTCATCCCACCCGCCTCTCTCGCCACACCTTTTCACCTCTGCCCCCCTCTCCCCCTTCCGCCCCTCCCCCCCTTCAGCCCATCGTCTCATTCCACCCGCCTCTCTCGCTAAATTCGAGCGCCAAACAGACAACCAGCCGTCCACGTTTTGTACCCCCTCTCCCCTGTCCCCTCTCTCTCCCCTCTCCCCTCTCCCCTCTCCCCTCTCTCCCCCCTCTCCCCTCTCCCCTGTCCCCTCTCTCTCCCCTCTCCCCTGTCCCCTCTCTCTCCCCTCTCCCCTGTCCCTCTCTCTCCCCTCTCCCCTGTCCCCTCTCTCTCCCCTCTCCCCTGTCCCTCTCTCTCCCCTCTCCCCTGTCCCTCTCTCTCCCCTCTCCCCTGTCCCCTCTCTCTCCCCTCTCCCCTGTCCCCTCTCTCTCCCCTCTCCCCTCTCCCCTCTCTCTCCCCTCTCCCCTGTCCCTCTCTCTCCCCTCTCCCCTGTCCCTCTCTCTCCCCTCTCCCCTGTCCCCTCTCTCTCCCCTCTCCCCTGTCCCCTCTCTCTCCCCTCTCCCCTCTCCCCTCTCTCTTCCCTCTCCCCTGTCCCCTCTCTCTCCCCTCTCCCCTGTCCCTCTCTCTCCCCTCTCCCCTGTCCCCTCTCTCTCCCCTCTCCCCTGTCCCTCTCTCTCCCCTCTCCCCTGTCCCTCTCTCTCCCCTCTCCCCTGTCCCCTCTCTCTCCCCTCTCCCCTGTCCCCTCTCTCTCCCCTCTCCCCTCTCCCCTCTCTCTCCCCTCTCCCCTCTCCCCTCTCTCTTCCCTCTCCCCTGTCCCCTCTCTCTCCCCTCTCCCCTGTCCCTCTCTCTCCCCTCTCCCCTGTCCCCTCTCTCTCCCCTCTCCCCTGTCCCTCTCTCTCCCCTCTCCCCTGTCCCTCTCTCTCCCCTCTCCCCTGTCCCCTCTCTCTCCCCTCTCCCCTGTCCCTCTCTCTCCCTTCTCCCCTGTCCCCTCTCTCTCCCCTCTCCCCTGTCCCTCTCTCTCCCCTCTCCCCTGTCCCCTCTCTCTCCCCTCTCCCCTCTCCCCTCTCTCTCCCCTCTCCCCTCTCCCCTCTCTCTTCCCTCTCCCCTGTCCCCTCTCTCTCCCCTCTCCCCTGTCCCTCTCTCTCCCCTCTCCCCTGTCCCTCTCTCTCCCCTCTCCCCTGTCCCCTCTCTCTCCCCTCTCCCCTGTCCCCTCTCTCTCCCCTCTCCCCTCTCCCCTCTCTCTCCCCTCTCCCCTCTCCCCTCTCTCTTCCCTCTCCCCTGTCCCCTCTCTCTCCCCTCTCCCCTGTCCCTCTCTCTCCCCTCTCCCCTGTCCCTCTCTCTCCCCTCTCCCCTGTCCCCTCTCTCTCCCCTCTCCCCTCTCCCCTCTCTCTCCCCTCTCCCCTCTCCCCTCTCTCTTCCCTCTCCCCTCTCCCCTCTCTCTTCCCTCTCCCCTGTCCCCTCTCTCCCCCTCTCCCCTCTCCCCTCTCTCTTCCCTCTCCCCTGTCCCCTCTCTCCTCCTCCAGTGCAACGCCTCATCCCCCCAGCTTCCCTAGCGAAGTTTGACCGCCAGACGGACAACCAGCCATCCACGTTCTGGCTCGCCACGCCCTTCAACAGCTTTGTTGGGAATGTGGCTGCTGGGTCGGAGGATTCGGGGTGAGTGGCGCGTATGGTGCAATGGGGTGCAGTGTGGTGCAGTGTGGTGCGGTGTGGTGCAGTGCAGTTTCCAACAAGGACATGCGCTGTCTGTGTTTTCAAGCTCCTTTCCTTCAATTTATTCGTCTTACTACATTTCCTACTCTTGTGACCTGCCCGCCTATTAGAAACAAAATGTAGTTACATAAGAATAAATCGAATAGACCTGCCCGCCTATTAAAAACGAATTTCAGTTTTTTTTTTGTTAGGAAACAAGAGTTTTCTGCAGTTTCCCATTCCCTCTCGTTTTCCATCTCACCTGTCCCCACGCCCTCCCTACCCCCAGCTTCTGGCTAGAGCTCAACAAGCACATGAGGGGACTCTCTAGGAGCCTCCCCTTCAATGCTCATGCCTTGGCCCTTGTACTCCCTCTCCCCATTCTTCCTTGTTTTGCCCCTCCCCTCTCATCCCTCCCCCCAGCTTCTGGCTAGAGCTAAACAAGCACATGAGGGGACTCTCTAGGAACCTGCCCTTCTGGAAGAACCTCTCCCCCATGACGCTCGCCTTGGTCTTCACAGCCAACGTGCTTCACTCCAATGCTCTCTTCGGCCTCCGCACCTACCCGCATGGCGCCCGGCCCGCGTTCCCCTCGCAAGGGAAAGGAAGAAAGGCGCTCCAAGTAAGTAAACGCCAGTCAACGCCAGTCACCATCAGTCAATGCTAGTACACGCATGGCAACCTACTTCACTCGAACGCCCTCTTTGGCCTCCCACCTACCTGCATGCACGGTGCTCGACGCATGTTCCCCTCTAGAGGGAAGGGAAGAGAATCGATCCAATCCAAGTAAGTCAACGCCAGTCAACGCTGGTTGAAGGTAGTCAACGCCCTCTTTGGCCTCCGCACCTACCCGCATGCACGGTGCTCGCCGCATGTTCCCCTCTAGAGGGAGGGGAAGAGAATCGACTCAATCCAAGTAAGTCAACGCCAGTCAACGCCAGTCAACGCTGGTCGAAGGTAGTCAACGCCCTCTTTGTCCTCCGCGCCTACCCACATGGCGCCTCTCCCAAGCAAGAGAAACGATCCAAGTCAAACACTAGTCAACGCTAGTCAACTATAATCGAGTCCACACCATTCATTGTTAGTCAACGCCAGTCAACACCAGTCAAAGCCAGAGCTCCTAGTGTCACCCCTTTCTCCCCCTTTCTGTGCCCCTCTCATCAACTCATTTCTCTACTTGTCCTCCCCTACTCCCAAACCCTCCATCCCACCAACCCCTCCTCACTTTCAGGTGCGCATCTCTCACTCACTCATCTACAGCAACCCCATCGGGTGAGCGCTGCTGCTGCTGCTGCTGCGGCTGCCATTTTATACATATATATACACATATATACATATATTATATCCATACATATACACATATATACATATGTATACATATATATACATATATGTAATGTACTTCTTGTTTGTTGCTTAAATTCTTTCTCTTTTTTTCCTTTTTTTTTTTCTGTGGCTGCCATAGCTGCTACCCTTGTTGAGTCACCTCAATACATCTCAATACCCCTCAACTCTCCCTTCGCCCCTCGTTCGCCCCCCTTCCCCGCCCCACCACCTCCCCCCCCTCAGCGTATTCCTGTACAACAGTCAGAGCATCACCGTCAGTCACTCCACCTTCCTCAACACCCACATTCAATCTCTTTCTTACTTTCCCCGTATACCAACCACCCACCACCCTCCCTCCCCCCCACCCAGCGTGTTCCTGTACAACAGTCAGAGCATCACCGTCAGTCACTCCACCTCCTGAACAACCGCATCGCCATCGACCTCAACCGCAACTCCCTTATGCTCTCCCCCTCCCTCTCCTCTTCCTTCTCCCCCTCCTTTCACCTCTCCCCCCCCTCCCAGCGTATTCCTGTACAACAGCCAGAGCATCACCATCGGCTCCTCCACCTTAACAACTCTCCTATCCCCTGCTCCCCTCCTTTCCACCCTCCCACCTCAACACTCTCTCTCTCCCTACTCCCAACTCCCCTCTCCCAGCGTATTCCTGTACAACAGCCAGAGCATCACCATCGGCCACTCCACCTTCCTCAACAACCGTATTGCCATCGACCTCAACCGCAACTTTGGCATTCTCATCCTCGCCTGCACCTTTATCGGCCGCACGGCGTGCAGGTAAGAATGTGCACGGATACACAATGTGTGCACGGATACACAATGTGTGCGCGGATACACACGTGTATGTAACATAACAGAGCACGTGGCTAGCACTCCACCTTCCTGAACAAGCCATCGACCTCAACCGCAACTTTGGCATTCTCATCCTCGCCTGCACCTTCATCGGCCGTACGGCCTTATTCATCCGCATGCAGGTAACAGTCATGTGCAGATAAGACATCCCTCCAGGCCTGCGCAGTGCAGGTAACGCTCCCAGCCAGTCCAACTTTGGCGTCCTCATCCTCGTCTGCTCCTTCCCCCCTTCCATGCTGCTGCATTTGCTTCCCCCTCTTCCGCTGCTTCCCTGTATCTCCTCCCTCCCTTTGCCCCAACAGCAAATCATCCGGGACTGGAGGGTCAACACCTTATGATGCTGCACCGAAACAACGCATGCCGTCAACCCCGCCGCAGCTACTGCCCTCAACACACGCACCGTCACCGCTCATGCCATCAACACATGCAACACCACAGCTCATGCCGTCCACACTTGCAACACCACAGCTACCAGCAGGAGCAGCATCGTCTCGCCTGCACGTTGAACCTGCTACTAACGAGGATGAAATGGAAGGGTACACCACGTCGAACTGGCAGTCGCCTGGTTTGATGCTAACAGCTCCGCAGTACAGTATGGAGGATGACTATAGCGAGGATGGTTATAGCGAGACAGCTGAAGCAGCTACTACAGGGGTTATGGGAACGGGAGGAAAGTGGGGGTGGAGGAGAAGGAGAAGAGCGGGGGGAGAGAGTAATGGATCAGCTTACGACGAGGATGGGGGAGATGATGTGGGGTTGGGTGATTCCACTGCGAAAGTTCTTAGCACTTATATAAAGGATGGGTCAGCCTATAATGAAGATCAGTTAGTTTTCAATGACAATGAAACGGTTTACAACGATAATGAGGATGGCAATGAGGAAGAGGAAGAGGACGAGGAGGGGGAGGAGGAGGAAGAGGATTATGGGGGTGGGGAGATCGAGGCGGTGAGGAGGGTAAAGGAGATGGAGACGAGGGGTCGTGTGGCAGCAGGGTTCTTCTATTCGCGGGATGGAGGGACTTTCAAGAGCCCCATTGGGGTGATGCTGAGTCAAGTGAAGCTGAGCGGCATGCTGGAGGCGAATAGGGTGGTGAACAGCAGGTGAGAGGAAGGGAGGCTGGGGGTGGGGGAAGGAGGGAGCGGGGAAGGGGGAGTATTGGGCAGCAGGCGAATAGAGTGGTGCAGAGTGGCGCACAGCAGGTGAGAGAAGGGGGCCAGGGGGCTGAGAAGGGTGGCTGTGGAAGACGAGGGGGCGAGTAGCGGCGGGGTTCTTCTATTCGCGGGATGGCGGCACGTTCAAGAGCCCCATTGGGGTGATGCTGAGTCAAGTGAAGCTCGGCGGCATGCTGGAGGCGAATAGAGTCCTCAACAGCAGGTGAGAGAAGGGATTGGGGGGTAGAGGGGGCTGGAGGTTGGAGGGAAGGGGAGGGAGGGCATGTTCAAGAGCCCCATTGGGGTGATGCTGAGCCAAGTGAAGCTGAGCGGCATGCTGGAAGAAGCTAATAGGTACAATCGCTCTTATGCAATCACTGTTGCCCGCTTATCGACGCACTTCAGCTCGACCCATGTTGCTTGTGATGTGTAGACCCCATCCTTTCCACTTTCCACTTTTCTCCCCGTTTATGCTCCGCCTGTTTGTTCTCGAGGCACCGCTGTCCACTGGCCTAACCGTCCACTGTCCTGTCCCCTTTGACCCCCGCCAGGTTCTCGGGGTTTGGGGAGCGTAGTTTTGAGGCGCCTCAAAACTAGGCACCGCTGCCCACTGTCTTAATCGTCCACTGTCTGTCCCCTTTGACCCCCATCAGGTTCTCGGGGTTTGGGGAGTGTGGCCCCACTCTGAAGAGCTCTGCCCTGGTTTTGGCAGTGAACAAGGCGGGCGGGTTCTGGAACCCAGCGATGAGTGTGAAGGTGAGAGGGAAGGAGGGAGTGAGTGCTGCTGTGTGTGTGAGTAACAGAGAGCTTATCAGTGATTGAGTGGGAGTGTGGCCCCACTCTAAAGAGCTCTGCCCTGGTTTTGGCAGTGAACAAGGCTGGGGGATTCTGGAACCCAGCGATGAGTGTCAAGGTGAGAGGGAAGGAAGGAGTGAGTGTTGCCGTGTGTGTGAGTAACAGAGAGCTTATCAGTGATTGAGTGTGAGTGCGGCCCCCCTCTGAGGAGCTCGGCTCTGGTGTTGGCAGTGAACAAGGCTGGGGGATTTTGGAACCCAGCGATGAGTGTGAAGGTGAGATGGTGTGGAGTTAGGGCGTGTTGCTGTGAGTGGGAGTGCGTGTGTGTGTGTGGCCTCACCCCCGCGCTGGTGTTGGCAGTGAACAAGGCTGGGGGATTCTGGAACCCAGCGATGAGTGTCAAGGTGAGGTGGTGTGAGTACGGGTGTTGCTGTGCTGATGTGTGTGTAAGAGAGTGTGAGTGCCCCTCCACTCTAAAGAGGTCCCCTCTGGTGCTGGCAGTGAATAAGGCGGGCGGGTTCTGGAACCCGGCAATGAGTGTGAAGGTGAGAGCGAGGGAGTGAGTGAGAGAGTGTGACGACCGAGGGACCAAAAGGGAGCGTGACTCGTGAGTGCGAGTGAGTGTGGTGGTGTGTGAAAAGGAAAGAGACGGAGAGTTGACCGTTTGAGAGTTGAGCGTGCGGTGCGTTAAACATCTGCCACAAGGTAGCCCGATGCTGCTCCTTGTTGTTTTTGAGTCGACTCAAAAGTCACCTCATTACCATGGCACATGACTGTGGTGGTGTGTGAAAAGGAAAGAGACGGAGAGTCGAGCGTGCGTTAAACATCTGCCACAAGGTAGCTCGATGCTGCTTTTGAGACGTCTCAGAAACACCCTCTCTACAGGTGGTGTGTGAAACGGAAAGAGAAGGGGGGTTGAGCGTGCTGCGTGCGTTAAACATCTGCCACAAGGTAGCCTGATGCTGCTCCTTGTTGTTTTTAAGTCGACTCAAAAGTCACCTCATTACCATGGCACATGACTGTGGTGGTGTGTGAAAAGGAAAGAGACGGAGAGTCGAGCGTGCGTTAAACATCTGCCACAAGGTAGCTCGATGCTGCTCCTTGCACCTTCCGGCTTTCCGCCTATCTATCACCCCTTGCTGACTTTTGAGTTGACTCAAACCCAAACGTCACCTCAGAAGGGGAGTTGATGTGCGCGTTTCACATCTGCTCTGCCACAAACAAGGTATCTCGTTCCTGCTCCTAGCATCTTCACATTTTGTTTGAGGTTGATTTTGAGAATTCTCAAAATCAACTTCCTGCTCCTAGCATCTTCACATTTCCCCCTCAAAGGGAGTTGAGTGCACATATTTCCCTATCACCCCTCGCTCCCCTTCCCCCTACACTCTGAATTTCAAACTTCACACCCTACTACTCCCAACTTCCTTCAATCCCCCCCTCTCCTTTCTCAGGGTCTGCAATTCACATCTGCCACAAGGCGGCTCTATGCTGTTCCTAATGCGGTATGTGCTGCTATTTTTGGCACGTGCTGCTATTTGTGGTACGTGGTCCTGCTTTCTCGTACGTGCTAATTTTTTGTGGTATGAGCAGCTTTTTGTGGTATGTGGTCCTATTTGTGGTATGTGGTTCTATTTGTGGTATGTGGCTCCTTCCTCTCCTGACTTATTTTTCTTTCCCTCTGCCCCCCTTCCTTCCCGCGCTCCAGCCCAACCGGCCTGTCCCAAGGGGGGTTTCCAACGCTCGTTTCTACGCATTGCACGATGCCGATGGCTCCTTCCTCACCTCCTCCTCTCCGGCCTTCCCCAGCGCCGCCCGCCCAGCCTACCTCGTTGCTCCGTTCCACCCGATCCTGCCGCCAGCTTCGGTCCGAGCCTCCCTCTGCCAGTACCATGACTCGTGGTCGCTCTACTCGTGCAGGTTCGTGCGTTTCCGAGCCTGACTGTTGTCAGGTGCAGTGTGAAACAAAACGTTGTCGCTTTGGGTTGCTGCAGATGTGGGGCTTTTTCCGTTCTGGAGAGAAGATTTGAAAGCCATACAACGTCCCACAATTCTTCGAGTTTTTAGTTTTCAATCTCGTGTTGAAGTTATAGCATCCTGAGTTGTAGAAAGACAGTCGAGCAACCTCAGGTTGAATGGAATCTCGTATTCAATCTCGTGTTGATTGTAGCACTCATCTTACTGGTACCTACCTGAGGTTGCTCGACTGTCTTTCTAGTTTACGTGTGTATAAACCTAAACTCCCTTCTTCCTTCCCTGCTTCCTCCTCTTCACCTGCCCGCCAGGTCTGTCTGCTACCGAGCCATCGCCCTGACCTACCTGGAGTACGGCGTGCCGAACCTATCGCCGAAGCTGATCAAGAGACGCCGGATCCGACCCTACTCCACCGCAAAGTTCACCTGACTAACCGACCGAGCCTATTTCGTTTCCTTAGGAGACCGAAACGACTATTCCAAACTCTACAAAGGTTCCCGACCCGTTCACCGAACGATATCGGCGACTCTCTTAGCGGGACACGCTTATTCGGTGGAAATCACCCCGCCGAGTGTAAATAGGGGGTTTTACCCTGCGAATATGACGGTGCGAGTGCTGGATAAAGGGGGGTGCGCTGGAGGGCTGGAGCTGCGGATGGTCCCCCGGACAAGAGCGACTCAATGGAGGACGATCGCGAATGTGCCCCAGCTGTAAGTCTCCTCTGTACTCCACTGCACTCCTCTGCACTCCTCTGCACTCCTCCCGTCACCCCTCTGCCAAAGGGGGGTGCGCTGGAGGGCTGGAGCTGAGGATGGTCCCCCGGACAAGAGCATCTCAATGGAGGACGATCGACAAGAGCTGTAAGTCTCCTCTCCTCTGTACTCCTCTGCACTCCTCTGCACCCCTCTGCACTCCTCTGCACTCCTCTGCACTCCTCCCGTCACCCCTCTGCCAGAGGGGGGTGCGCTGGAGGGCTGGAGCTGAGGATTGTATTGCAGACGAGAGCGACTCAAAGGAGGACTATAACGGATTTGCCCCAGCTGTAAGTGGAGAGTTGGGGCGGTCGGGTGTTGAGACAAAGGGGGGTGCGCTGAAGTTGGAGCTTAGGATTGTCCCAACCCTCTCAGGGGATACGATCTTTGAGACGTCTCAAAACTCAAAACTTTGAGACGTCTCAAAACAGAAGGGTTGGAGCTGAGGATCGTCCCAACCCTCTCAGGGGATACGATCCCAACCTCTCTCACATGCTTTCTTTGCACCAGCTGCTCTGCATTGCATTCCCACCTTCCCCTAATCAGCCCTCCAGCCCATGCCTGGAAAACGGTCGGAACCCCTTTCCCTTTCTCACACTTTCTGTTTGCACCCCTCTGCACCCCTCGGCACCCCTACCTTCGCCCCTCCACCCACCAGCCCAGGTCGGGACCTAAAGCGCATGTACTTGTTCTCAGAACCTGGACCTTGCTCTCTGCACTCCTCAGAACTCCTCTGCACTCCCATGTTCTCCCCCTCTGCCCTGCAGCCCTTGCCTGGGAAAGGGGGGTCAGAACCCAAACCGCATGTACATGCCCTCTGCACTCCTGAAAACACCTCTGCACTCCCCTTTTTCCCCCCTCTGCCCTCCATCCCTTGTCTTGGAAAGGGGGGTCAGAACCCGAACCGCAATTACCAGCGCTGTGCATGTGTTTCTAACCTCACTCCTCTTCACTCCTCTGTACTCCTCTCGACCCACCTCCACCCACCAGCCCATGTCGGGGAAAGGGGGGTCGGAGCCCGAACCGCATGTACCAGCGCTGCACGTACCGGAACAAGCAACCGATCCTGGCGCTCAGCTTCGGCCGGGCCTACTCACTGTACAGCGGAGTGAGCATCGTGCTTGGGAGGATGAGAAGCCAAACGTGCCCTGCTGTGAAGTGAGTGCTGCTAGCTGGAAGGGCATGATGCGTACCGGTAACAAACTGTTCTGTTTGTTGGCTTTGCTCCCTGTTTTCTTCTTGAGGCACCTCAAAATCTGTTGGCTTTGTTGGCTTTGTTCCCTGTTCTCTCCTTCTTTATTCTTCACAGCTTGACGACTTCCTTCATTGATGAGATGAGCAGCCAGCAATCTCCTTTGTTCCATTCCATTCCATTCCATTCCAACAGGTGCTGATTTTATGCATACTGGCAACAACCACACCTCGTGGTACGGCGGTATAGCAATGCATGGCGGCACAAGGCATGGCAGTATGGTGACATGGTGACATGGTGACACTGTGGCATGGTGGCATGGCAACAGCACGGCAGTATGGCAACAGCCCAGAAATTCTGTTCACATCTCCCGTCTGCATGCCGCATCAGCTCGTTAAATGCTGCCTGGTCGCAAACTAAGTATAGTGGGCAACTGGGTATCCCTGATTATTCGGCAACAGTGCAAGCGCAAAAGCTATCGGCGTCGGGCAAGTTCAATTTAATAAAATTTGCAGCCAACCGCTTTGCAGCCCACCGTGCCAGTCACATCCGTGCAACTAAACTACCCTCGAAAAGCGGGGTGAACTAGGAAAGTAGCTCTGATACCAGGTGTTATGAGTTGTAAAACAGAGTTGCACGGAAAACGAATAAAGAAGCTTGTGACGAATAAATGAATTGCCGATTTAATGAAGAACGCTATGTAATATAGAAACAACCATAGCTAGGCGGGAACATCGGGAACACGAGGTTGGGTGCAGATTCGGCAAGGGAAAACCGAAGGCGACGCGAGGCAGCCTCGGAATCGTAGATGTCGGCCGAACGTGTGAGTCTGAAAGTTGGGGTTGTACGCGAAGCGGTAAACCCCGATAAGGAAAAGGAAAAAAAAAAATCCTTACAATTTGGATGTTACTCTGTAACCAAGCGCCAGCCGTCTTTGTGTCCTCGTAGCGCGAATGCAGCTGTGAGGTGAGTGAGTGGATGTGAGAGTGGATGTGATACATGAGAGCGGATGTGAGTGACCCACAGGCGTGAGTGAGTGGATGAAACACACTTCACGACCGTGTGCGTGGACGCAGCACGGCACTGCGAATCTCTGACCTCACCTTTCTTTTCACAGGTGACATAACTGGTCTGGTCTGGATGTAGTGTGGTGATTTTTGGTTCATTCATACCGTAGCTAACCAATTTATAATGTAATTATACAGCTTTGGTACGCAAACTTACCGCACTTTACCGCGTTCACGTGAGCTCCCGCGAGATCCTCGACAGGAAAATTGGATGGATTTCCTTCATACACACAACAGCTGCTTTTTCCACGAGCAGAACGTGCATCAATCCACTCCACACGCGACTCGTCACATCATTCCAGACAATTATATTCTTCAAGAGCATTATAAGGTGTTTGGAACTGGCCGTGAATGTCGCTGCTCTGCCACGTCATGTAAACAGTCGTGTTCGTGGGAATTTTAAACGAGAGTCGAGCCGACGCCTGTGAATCGTATCGTACGCGTTTTGGGATGAGGTTCTTAGAAGGATCACCATATCCATACGACATTGGGGGATTTTTGGTCGCTGGATAGTCTCTAGGTCACATAATTGCAATAGCCTAGGAGCTCTGTTGCAATTCGATCGGTTTCGTTCGCTCACCGCGTGTTTCAAGCTAAGCAGTTCGATCGGCTGTGCGCTTCCCGAATGCGATTATCGCGTGCGCGTCTCAGCCATTTGCATGAAGCAACGTGCTTTATAGTGCCAGCCCACCCCCTTTGCCTGACGCGCGATTCCCGCCAACCGCCTTTAGGCGACAGTAAGCTACAATCTCTTGCGACAGCCCGTGGTGACAATATGTAAGCGACAAGTAGGCGACAAACAATGGCTAGGCGCCGAAATATAGGCGACTATCTCTGCGCGACTTAGTTTTCCCTACAACCTAGGCGATTTTTTTATCGTTAGGTTACCACAGGTCGCGGAGGCAGTCGCTCCTCTCAACCGCCTATTCACTTGGCATCACGCTCCGAGCAACCTCAATCATCCGCTATACTCTTCTTAGAAGCCCTTGATCCGTGCGACGCTTCGCGAATGACGGCGACGACCTCCTGGGTGCGCGAACAGGATGGTCCTTCGGCGCTGTTCGCCCAGCGAGGTTACCACCACCAGGCGACGTCGCCGCCGTCATCGCCACGGCGGCGGCTGCCGACGCTACTACTGCTGGTCCTTGGCTTCGTCGCGTTTTGCCACAATGCGTCGCTTTCATTGGCCGTCACTCTTGTAAACTCAGTTCAAGGTTTGTTCTTGTATTGTATCGCGTACACTTGTATTTGCATTGCATGTGTCTGTATCGCATGCGACTGTAACGCATGTTTCTGTAGTAAGACTTGTGCCAATAGGCTGGCTCAGTTTTGAACACCTGTACAATACTACATTATTACACTTATTACGGTTTTCTCAATCCTTGGACCTGGTTCACCAATGCCACCCCTCTGCGTGCGTGCAGGTGAATTATTGGAGCAGTGTGCGGTGGAGATGGGTGTAAAGGGTAACACTTGGAGCAACACCACTACATGTGGAATGGAGGTGGGGTTACGTTGTAATAAAGACGGCACAGTCAACACTATGTGAGTTTTCTGCGCTGAAGGATGCAGCTGTACTCGTTACAAGCATTGTGCCATGTTATAAAGTGCACGATGGGGGTGGGACTCAGCTGGGCATAAACTGGACAGAACACTCATCAGTTTGCGTGATGTACCGTCAGGAAAGGAAGCTGTACGCGTTATAAGCAGTAGGCCTTGATGCTCTTTGCACTCACATCCCCCCGCCTTCCCTCCTCTCCCAACCACCCCACTTTCTCTCTCCCCTCTTCTTTCTTCTAGTATCTACCAGGCGTTATATGAAGCATTGGTTTGTTCCTGCAATGCTCCTCCTTTCCCGTGCTGCTGTCCCGTCCCTTGCTCCTTTCCCTACACAGCAGGATCTTCACTTCACAGATGCTCCCTCCCGTCCCCCACACTGCCCTCCTGCAGTGCTCTTCACTTCACAGACCCACTCCTTACTAAACTGATACTACAATTAATCATTCTATTCTCCCATCCCCCTCTCTGCCCTCCTGCAGTGATCTTCTCTTCACTTCACAAAGCAAATCTTATTGAACTGATACTGAAATTACTCATTATATGCTCCCATCCCCCTCTCTTACACCCCCCTCTCTGCCCTCCTGCAGTGATCTTCACAGCTCCAATCTCACTGGGAGCATCTGCTCCGATATAGGCAAGCTCACAACACTCGTTATAATGTGAGTGCGGTGTGAAGCACACTCGCTGCTGCTATGCCAACATCTTTCCTTCTCTCCTTTCCCTCGTCCTCTGCCTCCCTCCCTCCCTCTACCCCCTCTTCTCACCCCTGCCCTCTCTGCGCACCCCTGGCCCCTCCCTTCCCCCCCACCCACCCACCCACTCTCCTTTCTCTTCCCGCTTACTCCCTCTTCTCACCCCTGCCCCCCCTGCGCAACCGTGGCCCCTCCCTTCCCCGCTCCCTCCCTCCTCCCTATCCCCCTCCCGTTCGCCTTCGTATGTGCCCCTTCCCCCTCCTCCCCCTTCCCCCTCCTCCCCCTTCCCCCTCCTCCCCCTTCCCCCTCCTCCCCCTTCCCCCTCCTCCCCCTTCCCTCTCTTTTCCCTGCCCCGCTTCCCCCCCTCTGCTTCCCCTCCTGCACTTCCCCTCCTCCCCCTTCGCCCACTACCCCCAGAAATCTGAGCTTCAGCACTCTGAAAGGGTCCATTCTTGAGGCGCCTCAAAAGCTAAGATCCCTTCCCTTCCATCCTCCCTTCCCCTACTCCACGCCGCCCAATACCCCCAGCAATCTGAGCTTCAACGCTCTGAAAGGAACCATTCCCGCCAGCATCGGCCAGCTCTCACGCCTGCAAACGCTGTGAGAAGCAGGGAGGGAAGGAGTTGCTAAGGGGCAGAGTGTGGTACAAAGTGGTATGGTATTTGGCAAGGACCAATCCCACCGGCATCAGCCAGCTCTCATGCCTGCAATCGCTGTGAGGGGGGGGAAGAGGAGGAAGAGCAGGTTAGAAAGTGGTGTGGTGCAAAGCAGTGTGCCACAACATGGTGTGGTATGGTATCTGACAGGGCCCACTCCCACCTGCATTGGCCATATGTTCCGGCCGCAGAAGCTGTGAGAGGCAGAATGGGTAGACTACGATACAGAATGGTACAATGGGGGGTTATGATACACTACATCGTGGTGTGGTACAACGCGATATGGTACAATAATGGTGCACTGCGGTGCGGTGCAATGCGGTTCGGTGTCCAACCTTAATCCTGCCAGCATCCGTTGGCTCTTTTTTATGCAGCCACTGTGAGTAAAGGAAGGGTGTAAGGGAGGAAGGGTGTACGGGAGGAAGGGTGTAAGGGTCCTTTCTATCTGCCCTCACTAGATTCTTAAAAGGCGATTCCAATGTTTCTCTAAAACTCATCTCAAGATTCTCTTAAACTCGATTACATCTTCTTTGCAACTCATCCCTCCCCTGCAGCAACCTTGGGAACAACACGCTCACAGGCACCCTTCCTGCCACTTTCTCTGCGCTCATCAATCTTACATTCCTGTAAGCGGGGTGACTTTTGAGTCTTTACAGTCCCAGTTACATTCCTGGGGTTGGAAACAACACTATCACGGGCCCCTTCCTTCCTGCCACTTTCTCTGCGCTAAACAATCTTACGTTCCTGTAAGCGGGGTGACTTATGAGACAAGTCAAAAGGTGCACCCTTCCTGCCACTCTTTCTTCCCTCTGCAATCTTTCATTCCAGTAAGCGGCAGCCATTGGCTCACTCGCACACGCCCTTCCTAAGGGTTTTGAGACGTCTCGAAACTTGGCTCACTCGCACACACACGCCCTTCCCAAGAATTCGAACCACCAGCTTGAGCTGATTTTTGGAAATTCAGATATTGCCTTGATTGTTGACCGTTTGACCTGCAGGTCCGTTACATTTGGTTCTTCTTAGGAGTCAATCCCCCCCGCTGTTGGCTGTTTCACTTACATTACAGCCATTTCAGAATCTGCTCCTTGCTGTGTGACCTGCAGGTCCCTCAGTTACAATGGGTTCTCAGGAGTCATTCCGCCATCCATCTCTAGCCTCTCCAGGCTTCAATACTTGTATGTATGCTGCTGTGCCGTGCTGTGCTGACAAACACAAACAGAGAGTGCTCTTGAGGTGCCTCAGAAAGCAAGTCCCAATGGTTGTATGTTGCTGTGTGCTAAAACAGAGGCGTGTGATTCAAGAACCTTCACTTGTGTCAGCTCGCGTCCTCCTGCCTGCCTGTGCAAAAAAACTCTCTAGTTTTTGTGACGTCTCAAGACAGTTTATTATAGCCATAGCTCTATCTTCTGCTGCTTTGTGAATCAGCCAGGTGCGCAGGAATGCTTTCAAAGGGGAGGTCCTTCCAACTCTGGCATCTCTTACTAAATTGATCTCCATGTAAGCTGCTCGCCATATATGAATTTGTAGGTAAGCAAATCTCAGTTGAATGCATGCAAGTTTACCTACTCTACTTGATTGATATGCAATGAACTCTCTTGCTTGCATATCAACCGCGGAGTGCTCAAACAGCATTCCATTGAGATGCACTGTTGTCGCTCTATCCGTCAATCGCTGTGACTCGTCGTTTCACTCCTTACCGCATCTTAATTCCTCGTACGTGTACCTATCTCGGGCTCCCATCGCCCTACTCTGCAGCGGCATTGTTGCACGAAACGAGTCCACCTAAACCATCAAACATCGTTCCTCTCCGTCCCACACATCTGTACTCGTTACAAGCAACGGCTCGGGTTCCCATCGCCCTATTCTGCAGCGACATTGCACAGAACCAGTTTAGCGGATCCATCCCCCTGGAGTTTGGAAACCTACCCAGCCTGCAAAACGTGTAAGCAGTCACCACCTTGTGTGACAATAGCCAGAGGTGATTTTTTAGTCGACTTAAAACGGAAAACCAGTTCAGCGGATCCATCCCCCTGGAGTTTGGGGACCTATTTAGCTTGCAAAACGTGTGAGCAGTCAACACCTTGGCTTGGAAACTGGAGGCTTGCATTTGTTCTCTTTCTGAGTTTGGAAGTTTGACCAGCGTGCAACTCGTGTAGGCAACACCTTGGCTCACGCGCACCATGCGCGCACCCCTTCCTATTTTTAATGTAATGGCGTGTGATGGAGTCTGATGGCATATGAGCATGCTTCTTGCCTTTCCACTCTTTCTCTGCCTCCCTGCCTCTCCTGCACCCAGCTCCTTATTCTCAACAGCTCATCCCCCTCGCCTTCCTCACATTCTTTCTCAACCCATCTTACCTCGCCCCATCTTTCCCCTCCACACCCTCCTCCGTCCCCCTCCTCCCAGTGCCCTTGCTGACAATCGCCTCTCAGGATCCCTCCCGGCGACCCTCTCCTCCCTTGGAAGGCTTTCTCACATGTATGCATGCTCACATGTATGCATGCTCACATGTGTGTGGGTGTGCTCACATGTATGCATGCTCACATGTGTGTGGGTGTGCTCACATGTATGCATGCTCACATGTGTGTGGGTGTGCTCACATGTATGCATGCTCACATGTGTGTGGGTGTGCTCACATGTATGCATGCTCACATGTGTGTGGGTGTGCTCACATGTATGCATGCTCACATGTGTGTGGGTGTGCTCACATGTATGCATGCTCACATGTGTGTGGGTGTGCTCACATGTATGCATGCTCACGTGTGTGTGGGTGTGCTCACATGTATGCATGCTCACATGTGTGTGGGTGTGCTCACATGTATGCATGCTCACATGTGTGTGGGTGTGCTCACATGTATGCATGCTCACATGTGTGTGGGTGTGCTCACATGTATGCATGCTCACATGTGTGTGGGTGTGCTCACATGTATGCATGCTCACATGTGTGTGGGTGTGCTCACATGTATGCATGCTCACATGTGTGTGGGTGTGCTCACATGTATGCATGCTCACATGTGTGTGGGTGTGCTCACATGTATGCATGCTCACATGTGTGTGGGTGTGCTCACATCACATCTATGCATGCTCACGTGTGTATGTGTGTGTGTGTGTGCTCGCATGTGTGCATGCTCACATGTGTGTGTGTGTGCTTACATGTCACATGTATGGTTTGCTCACATGTATGGTCTGCTCTGCTCACGTGTGTGTGTGTGTGTGTGTGTGTGTGTGTGTGTGCATGCGTGCGTGCGTGCGTGCGTGCGTGAGTGCGTGCGTGCGTGCGTGCGCGTGCGTGCGCGAGCGTGCGCGCGCGCGTGTGTGTGTGTGTGTGTGTGTGCTCACATGTGGCATGTGTGTAATGGCTATGACTTACATCTCATCCACATTCCATTCACATCCCTTCACACATACCCGCCTGACCTGACACCCCTTCACGTGTTTGCAGCGATTTCACCAACAACACTTTCAAGGGACCCGTCCTCTCTTCCTTTGCCAACCTTCACAACCCATTCACATCCTATTCACATTCTATTCACTTCACACCCCTTCACATTCCATTCACATACCCTGACCTGACATGTTTGCTTCCAGCGATTTCACCAACAACACTTTCAAGGGACCCATCCTCTCTTCCTTTGCCAACCTCAACAACCTTTACATGCTGTGAGTGGGTGGGTTCCGTGTCTTTTTGTTTCAAGCTCATAGTGGAGTAGCAGCCTAATAAAAGAGGCGCCTAAAAGAAGAGGCGCCTCTAAACTCAACCTCACCAACCTTTACATGCTGTGAGTGAGTTCCGTGTCTTCTTGTTTCGAGACGTTTTGAGTTTTTGCTAAATGTCCAACGTCAAGTGCCAATGCTGCTCACACTTACATACGCTCGCACACTCATCCCAGGTGTGCACACGTTGTGCATACCTGCCAATGTCACTGTCTATAGAGCTTTGGTCACTTGAGTTTTTGCTAATTGTCCAACGTCAAGTGCCAATGAAGCTCACACTTCCATACGCACGCACACTCGTGTCGCGTGTATGTTCGTTGTGCAGAAGTACATTTTCAAATTATATGCTTGTTGTTGTATTGCATGTATTATTAGGTGGAGTGGAGCTTTTGGTGCCTCCATTTATTTGAGATCTTTTAGCCAATTCAATCAGTAACTGTATCGTATATGGGACTTTCGAAAAGCATTCTCATCATTGGTAGTTTCTAAGCATTCTCATCATTGGTAGTTTATAAGTGTTCTCATCATTGGTAGTTTCCTTTGTACTGTCCATTACTTCTGCAGGTCTTTTCTGCGGAATCAATTTTCAGGGGAGATTCCATATGAACTGGGAAATCTTACCAAGCTCACTCTCCTGTAAGAGCACATGCATGCCGCATCTGGACATACCGACATACATACACAATACACACACACAAACACACACACACACACACACGCAAACACACACGCGCACGCACAGACACACACACACACACACAAACACACACACACACACGCACACACACACACACACACACGCACACTCACACAAACACACACACACGTACACACGCACATGCTTTGAGTAGTCACACTTTCACCCTCGTCCCTTCATTCATGTATTGCCATGTATGCAGAAGCTTCGACAGCAATGATATCTCAGGCACCGAGCCTCCAACACTTAGTAAGGAACCATTGGTTGCCCTCGTCCCATCACGAATCCACCCTAATTCCATCATAAATTCGCCCTCACCCCTTCATTGGTCTACGGTCTACCCCCACGCAGAAGCTTCGACTACAATAATCTCTCGGGCACCGTGCCTCCGACACTTGGGAACCTCGTCCATCTAACGAGCCTGTAAGCAGCAAGGAGAGGGGGATGGGGGGTTGTGGGGATGGGACCGTGGGGAGAGGGGAGGGAATGGGGAAAATGGAGTTATGAGGCATATTATAAAGAAGAGCCTTTCTCTTACCCCCCTTCCCCCTCCCTCATCGCAGTGAGGTGCTGGACAGTGGGGCCGAATGCCCCACAGGAGCCGGGCAGTCCTGTGTGGTCAAGCAGAGCGCCTCCTCCCAGTTCTGCTACCAGTGCAGCGAGTTCTGAAGCATACTTCTTTCTGCTACTGGTGCAACGATTTCTGAAGCATAGTTCAAAGAAGAGCCTTTCTCTCTGACTCCCCTTCTCTCCCTCACCGCAGTGAGGTGCTGGACAGTGGGGCCGTATGCTCTCAAACGAAGGAAACGGATAGAAAGCTGCAAGCTCGGTTGACCGACCTAACTAATCTGAGTAGAAAAGTTCACTGAGTACTAGGCGAGAACACGTGTAGGTAAGCGTAGTAGTATTAAAAGGCAGATTACAAGTGGTTCAGAAAACGTACGCGCGTTTCGGCTTTGTGGGCCTTCATCGGCTCTGACTCCCCTTCTCTCCCTCATCGCAGTGAGGTGCTGGACAGTGGGGCTGCATGCCCCACAGGAGCCGGGCAGTCCTGCGTGGTCAAGCAGAGCCTCTCCTCCCAGTTCTGCTACCAGTGCAACGAGTTCTGCCCCTCCTGCATCCCCATCGCTGAGCCCACCCCTCCCTCTCCTCCTCCTCCCGCCTCCTCTTCTGGCCTGCCTGTGGGAGCAATCGTTGGGATTGTTCTGGGGGCTGCCCTAGCTGTTGCTCTCCTCGCTGGCGGCGTGTGGCTTCTCTGCAAACGAAAGTCCACTGCAGGTGAGAGCCCTCACCTCCTCCTCCCTCACCTCCTCCTCCCTCGCCGCCTCCTCCTCCTCCCTCCTCTTCCGGCCTGTCTGTGGGAGCTATCGTTGGGATTGCGCTGGTTGGTGCCCTAGCAGCTGCTCTCCTCGCTGGCGGCGTGTGGCTGTCTCAGCAAAGGACGGACAAAAGAAGGTGAAGTGCTTGAATTGTTGGTGGTGTGGTGTGGTGTGGTGTGGTGTGGAGTGGTGTGGTGTGGTGTGGTGTGGTGTGGTGTGGTGTGGTGTGGTGTGGTGTGGTGTGGTGTGGTGTGGTGTGGTGTGGTGTGGTGTGGTGTGGTGTGGTGTGGTGTGGTAGACGCAGGGAGGATCAGCGATCTGTCAGCATGTTCTCACGGTTTTTCCATTTCCACCACTCTGTGTGGGAGTGTGTCGCAGCTGATGCTCTCCTTCCTGTCGGCGCCTTCTTTCTCTTCAAAACGAAGGTCCATTGCATGTGAAGTGTTGGTGATGTGGGGTAGTGTGGTTGACGTTGGGATGACATTTGCCCTCGCTTCCACCGAGTATGTGAGTCGTCAAACGGCACAACCTTGAGCGATAGAGGATCGAGGGGGGGATGGGCATCGGTTTCAACTCAATCGCTCATGTGCCAACCCAGTCACTCATGTGCCAGCGATACCCCTTAGCTGTGGTTGCCCCATGCCCACCCATTCCCTACCCACAGGCGATAGAGCATCAAAGAAGGGAGAGAAATCTGTACCAACCAGTTCGCTCATGTGCCAGCGATACCCCTTAGCTGTGGTTGCCAAGGCAACGAACAACTGGGCAGAGGCGCATTGAAGGGACTTTTGATGCGCCTAGAGAAAACGCGTGACTCCCCACTATCATTCCCACTCCCACCCAGAACGTGACCCATCAAATGGCCCCACCACAAGCGATGGGCCATCAAGAGGAGGAGGGGCATCGGTACCAACGCAGTCACTCATGTGCCAACGATACCCCTTATCTGTGGTTGCCAAGGCCACGGATAACTGGGCAGAGGCGAACCATATAGGGTCGGGGGGGTATGGAGAGGTGTACCGCGGGGTGTGTCCAGATGATCCCTCGGTGGTGTGGGCTGTGAAGCGCGCCAAGATACTCACCAACGACTTCAAACGCGAGGTATGTGAGTGAATTCTCGTGCTCATTGCCCCACATCCCTTCATTTCTTTTCCTCCAGCAGGTTGAGGAGATAGCGTGGAAGACGCTCACCGTTCTCACGAATTCATTGCCCTCGCTTTTGATCCCAAATAGGAATAATAATAATAATAATAATAATAATACTAATAATAATAATAACAATAATAATAATAATAGTAATAATAATAATAATAATAATAATAACAAAAAATAATAATAAACAAACAAACAAACACAATATTCTCGTGCTCACTCTACCACGAATGTCCGCTTTCTTTTTTTCCTTGCCCATGCAGGTGGAGGAGATGGCATCAAAGAGCCATCCACACTTGGTGCGGCTGCTCGGTTACTGTGTGGACATGGATACAACCACGGAGCACTACGAACAGATTGTCATTTACGAGTTCTGCTCCAACGGAGACCTTGAGAAGTATCTGAGTGGAGGTGAGTGGATAAATTAGAGGCATTTTTGGGACACTTAAGTGAGTAGGATTGATAGAGCTAAGCTAATGCTTCACACATATTTACATCTCCACGTACACCCCATTGCACTTTGCACGCACTTGGTGTATGTAATGTGGTTGTTGCTAGGTGGACGACATCTTTGCACGTCTTTCTATCATATTCAGTGTTTTGTTTATTTTCTTTTTAGAGTCACTTCAATCACGGTTGCAATTGTAAGTACGTGAGTTGAAATTGTTGATTAGGTAACTCATTTGTAAAGTTTTTGATGTGTTTGTAAACTGTTTGAGTTCATTACCTAATCAACCATGTCAACTGAAGTACTTACGAGTGCAACTTTGAGTAAAGTGGATCTTCTGATGAAACATCTTAAAGCAAGTTTTTCTCATTCTGAGACATCCCACAACAATTTTGCCATGTTTTAATATGGAAAGCCTTCATTGCTAACTTCCGATAAAGCAGATGAAGCATTCGGCTATAATTGTGGGTCGCAATGCATGAGTTCGCGAATGCGACAGCGCGTCACTCTCTGAATGCTTGCTCGAATTCTCTGCGTGGTTGGCTCGGCCAGGACTCACCTAAGTTGGTGAGGTGATGCGAGAGAACAACGGTGTGCGAGTGCAAGTGTGAGCATCCCCCCTCATTTTGATGTGCCAAGGGGATGCAGGGCCCAAAAAGGGCACGTTGACATTGCTGCAGCGCATGGATGTGCTGGTGGGGGTGGCGCGGGGGTTGGAGTACCTCCACCAGTTTGACATCGTGCATCGAGACATCAAGCCCGCCAACGTTCTGCTCGATGCCCGCATGCAGGTGAGAGAAGGGGCCGAGTGATTGCGGTGAAGTGCGGTTGGGGAGCCAACATGCTGTGTGATGCCCGCATGCAGGTGAGGCGAGGAGGAAGGGAAAGGGGAAGGAGATGTGATGGTTGAGTCCTGCTGGCGAGTCAAACGTGCTGCTTGGGGAAAACCCGTCACCCGTTTCAGGAAAACCCGTCACCAGCAAACGGTTTATACCGAAAAAGGGTATCGCACGTTGCAGAGTAGCCTTGCTACTATGATCCGCTAAGATTTAGCCCTTGTTCTTGAAGCACCCCCCTCTCCTCCTCCCACCCACCCTCTCCCTCTCTAGCCAAAGGTATCAGATTTCGGGCTGGTGCGCATGACAGAAGGCACCTGATGTGCTCTCCTGCTCCTTTGCCCCACCCCCTACCTACTACAGCCCAAGGTGTCAGATTTCGGGCTGGTGCGCATGACAGAAGGCACCACAGTGAATCCCACCCGAGTGGTCGGCACTCCAGGCTATGTGGACCCCGCTTACTCGCGCACCAGCAAGGTTACCCCCATGGCTGATGTTTTCAGGTGGGTCGGGTTGATTGAAGGACTTCCTGTGTCCGACTAGCACAGGTTAGGATCATCAAGTGCTCGTTATTAGCACATCAGGTGACTTTCTCTGCTCCTCATTATTAGCATCGTGAATGGCTTCGTATAAGCACTTCCTGATGTGATGCTATGCTCTTGCTGGCTGATTATTTTCTCATGGGGTACTGGTGCCACTTTTACATATACATGTATATAACTTGTCCAATCTATCCCCCCGCTTCAACAGCTTCGGTGTGATGATGCTTGAGATCATGCTGACCAAGCCTGTTGTGTTTTGAGTCCACTGAGAACACACCGAAGTACCAACCTGTTGATCCCATCCCCCCTTTCCAACAGCTTCGGTGTGATGATGCTTGAGATCATGCTGACCAAGCCTGTTGTCATGCAAGAGAATGGCGGAATCAACATCCGAGACTGGGTAGGTGTATACAGTGTATTTGGCTGTGGAAGTATGATTCACCTTCATGGGTTAGTGTATACAGTATACACATTCATGTGTTATTTTTCTCACAGGCATGTTTTTGGAAAATCTCGCTTTCCTTTTCCTATGCTTCATTCTCAGTCGTTGCTGGAAATTCACGAAATGTGTCATACTTGCTTGCCTATCTTCTATTGTCCATGTGTCCAGGTCGATAAGCGCGTGCAAGCGAACGACATAGAAGCCCTCAAAGACCCCAATCTTGATTCGATGCCCCAAAATCTTCTACTCAAACTCGTCGAGCTTGCTCTACAATGCACGTCGCTCCTAGCCTCATCACGACCGCATATGATTGAAGTTGTCGCGCAGTTGGGTGCAATGAGACGGGATTTCTTCGAGGTTCAGGCGTCGTCAAAGGATTCGAGGCTGCTTAAGATTGATAAGGAGGTTCGGAGGCAAGGTACGGGACCCCAACGCAGTATGGAGGACGAGCTTCAGCTTCTTGATGGGATGCTCGGCGGGGAGAGGACAATAAGTTAATTAATATATTTACCAAACAACATACTTTTGCTAATTTACCATAGTATGTTTAGTATATATGCACTGCTAACGGTTTAGCTGTAATGAGCCAATGATTGCTCCCAATCCTTATAATGCAATCAAAGCACTCTGCCGCGCAACCCATCTCACCCAACCGCATTCGAATGTACTCTTGTGAGGTGACACGCCCTCCCTCGCCTACTGTGAGGAGACACGCCCTCACCTACACTACAAATTTTTCCTCCCGAATCCAATTTTCAGTTCTCGTTCTCCTCCTGCTCGATCCAGCGATTAGGGTTTCCACGCCCTGCTGATCAGCGCTCCCTCGCTGCAGTTGCCCGGTATCTTCGGGCCGCAGTTATCGACGATAAGTAAATCCCCGCAGATCACGACGCGAATCTTCGCAGCTCGCTGCGCTCAGCGGGTTTGACGTCGTAGATCCGCTAGTTGACTGCGACGTAGCCGTCTTTTGGTGTGCTCGTCTCTGTCTCGAGCAGCAAGTAGGAATTTCAAAGGGCGAGTTGAATAAGACTCTCCACTAATTTGTTTAAGCACATTTAAGCGATTAGAAAATGAGTAAGTCTCTGGGTATTCCGGTGAAGCTGCTGCACGAGGCGCAAGGCCACGTTGTTACTATCGAGTTGAAAAACGGGGAGTTATATCGAGGCACGCTGACGGACTGCGAGGATAACTGGAACTGCCAAATGGATAACATCACATTCACAGCCAAGGTACGCCGGTCGATAAAGTCACATATCATGCTATCCGGCTCGCCTCCGTTCATGGTTCCAGATCTGTTCGCTGGTAGCTGCAAATATCCTTCTGCAGATTGGGAGTTAATGTAGGGGACGCTTACCTGCTTTTAAAACCCTAGTTTCCTGATATCGCGATTTTCACAGTCCATGCTCGCTTCGTCCGAACTTAGCATTCACTAGTTTGTCGTTGTTTGAGACAGCTTCGACAAGAATCGCGTCATCATTTATCACCCAAGCACTCCGTTTTCCAGATTTCTCTGTTTTTTTTACCTTTCCGTGTATTCAGGACGGCAAGGTATTGCAATTGGAGCACGTTTTTATAAGGGGGAGCTTCGTTCGGTAAGTATCACCTCATAACGAGTGTTATCTTACCGAGTGTTGCCTTATAACGAGCCTCGCTATTTTTTGCGGTTCCTAGGCATCTGCTTTTCTCCATGCTCTTCCCCGCACGCTCTTCCCTCCTTGGTCTTTCTTCCTCCACTCTCCTCTCCCTGTGCTCTTCCCCCCGCACTCTTTTCCCATGCTCTTCCCCCGATTCTCTTCTCCCTATGCTCTTCCCCGTCTGCCCATATCCCGCCAAGCATGCTTCCTTGTACGCTCTTCCCCCAATATTTCCATGTTTCAACCGTTGGCCTCTCCTCCCTTTGCTTCTGCTGCTGCTTTTCTCCCCCGCCTCCCATTCCCCACCCGCACCACTCCGTTTTTGCTCTTTCCCTTTCCCCTTTCCCCCTTCCCCCCTCCTACCTTCCAGTTCCCCCTCTTCCCCCCTCCCTACCTCCCTTTCCCTTCTCACTCTCAACCCCCCCCCTTCCCCCTCCTTCCCCTCCTACCTCCCCCCCCCGCCCTTCCTTCAACCTGCGTCCCCCTGGAACGTTCCACCTTCCTGCTCCGCCCCTCCTTCCCCTCCCCCCTCGTTTCCACCGCTTCCCCCCCTCCCCCCTCCTTCCCTGCTTCCCCTTTCCACTCCTTCCCCTTCCCCCTCCTTCCCCTCGCCCCTTCGTTTCCCGCCCTCCCCTTCCCGCTCCCTCCCCATTCATAATCTTTCCCGTCCCCCCTCCTTCAGCCTCATTCCCCCTCCTCCCCTTTCTTCCCCCGTCTTCCCTCGTCTCCCCACTCTATTACCCTTCTTCCCCGTCTACCTTCTTCCCCCGCCCGCACCCACGCCCCTCCACCTTCTCCATTGCTTTCGGCTATTGCAGACATGTTTTGAAACACACTCATGTTTAAGCCCTCCATCCTGTGCTCTTCCTTCCCTCCCCCCCCCTTCCCTCTCATCCCCCTTGCAGTCTAGTACCCGAAACCCTGACATGCTGTGAAATGCACCCACGTTTGAACGACTCAAAGCTGATCAGTGTATAAGCTGTTCAAGCACTCATTGTCCCCGTTCCCCCACTTCCCTTTCCTCCTCTTTGCAGCTTCGTCATCATCCCAGACATGCACCTGTGTTCAAACGACTGGATGAAAGCTGGTCAGCTGATCAAGCACTCATTCTCCCCTTGCCCCCATCCCCTTATCCCCCCTCCCCTTAACCCCCCCCCTCCCCCCCCTTCCTCCCTCTCTGGCAGCTTCGTCATTATCCCTGACATGCTGCGGAATGCATCCATGTTCAGAAGACGGGAAGCCAAGCCTACCAGCCAATCCCTTCCTTTGCTCCCTCCCTGCCACTCTTCCCCCTCACTTCCTCCCCCCTCTGCCAGCTTCGTCATAATCCCCGACATGCTTCGGAATGCGCCCATGTTCAAACGACTGGAAGCCTATCAGCTGATCAAGCTTCCATTCTCCCCTTGCCCCTATCCCCTTATCCCCGCTCCCCCTCCTTGCAGCTTCGTCATCATCCCAGACATGCTGCGGAATGCCCCCATGTTCAAACGGCTGGAAGCCAAGCTCAAGGTATGCTCCTCTATCTCTCTATCTCCTCCCGCTTCCCCCCCCCCCTCCTCCTCCCCCCTTCCATTCTTGCTCTCTGTCCCCTCTTCTTGCCGTCCCACTTCCCTTCTCTCTTCTGCCCTCAATGTCTGCTGCTCTCCCTCTCGCTATCCCTCTTCGCGCAAAGCACTCCGCCTTGGTTTTTGCCTTCAAAAAAACAAAAAGGGAAAATGCAAGGTCGCCTTTTTTACTCTCTTGCTGCGACCTTTCTCCCCACCTCTCTATCCACCCTACAATGTCCCTCTCTTCTCTGTGGCCCTCCTTCCCAAGATCTCAAATGTTGAATCTGCAATGCTCCCCAAATCAACCCTCTTGTGTGTGCTTCAGGGCAAGGGATCGTCCAACCTGGGAGTGGAGTGGGCAGGAAAGGAGTTTCGGCCATTCGAGCGAAAGCTCGGTCTGCCACTATCGGCTTACGCTCCCAACTCAATCATCTCCACGCAGTCACACACACTCACACTCCCAATCACACGCTCAAATTCCAGTTTTATTCCAACCCCTTTGCGTGTGCTTCAGGGCAAGGGATCGTCCAACCTGGGAGTGGGCAGGAAAGGAGTTTTGGCCATTCGAGCGAAAGCTCGGTCTGCCACTATCGGCTTACCCTCTTAATCCAATCATTTCCACGCAGTCACACATACTCACACTCCCACTCACACGCTCAAAATCCGGTTTTATTCCAACCCCTTCGCGTGTGCTACAGGGTAAGAATTCGTCCAACCTGGGAGTGGGCAGGAGACTATTCCTGGCCATGCGAGCTAAAGCTAAATCTGCAGCAAGGCGCACACCCGTATCCACTCACACACACGTATCTCTTTGCATCCCCTCCCAAGCCATTTTTCTGTGTGCTTCAGGGCAAGGGTTCGTCCAATCTTGGAGTGGGCAGGGGCAGAGCCGTCGCAATGCTAGCCAAAGCTAGGTCTGCAGCAAGGGGCTCACCATTCTCATTCACCATTCCCATTTTCACACTCATAATTTCATGCGATCCAACCCGCTTGTGTGTGCTTCAGGGCAAGGGGTCGTCTAATCTGGGAGTGGGCAGGGGCAGAGCCGTGGCCATGCGAGCCAAAGCTAGGTCTGCAGCAAGGCGCATACCCTTATCCACACACACACTAATCTCCATGCATCCCAACCAAACCCTCTTTTGTGTGTGCTTCAGGGCAAGGGGTCGTCCAATCTTGGAGTGGGCAGGGGCAGAGCCGTGGCAATGCGAGCCAAAGCTGGGTCTGAAGCAAGGCGCATACCCTTATAAACACACACACACTTATCTCCATGCATCCCCCCACCCAACCCCCTTTTGTGTGCTTCAGGGCAAGGGGTCGTCCAATCTTGGAGTGGGCAGGGGCAGAGCCGTGGCAATGCGAGCTAAGGCTAGGTCTGCAGCAAGGGGAGCACTGGGAGCAGCACCAGATGGGGGTGCTCCCATGGGTGGCATGATGGGCCGAGGTGCTCCTCCGCCTCGGCGGTAACCTTGTTACACGGAGTTATTCCCGACGTGATTTGTTGTGCTCAACCTTGTTATTTTGAGGGATGTACATTGTATACTGTGAAGGTTGAGTTCCTCACTAGTGTTTTCTCACTCATCTTAGCAATGATTTGCTCATATTGCTCAGACTCAGAAGTAGCACCAACAATACTTCTGTCAGAAATGCTTAGCTCATGTGAGGATATTCTTATCGGATTTTAGTGGCATGGCAACCAGAGAGCTCTGTTTTCTGCTCGTGTGGGTGCCATCCAGCCTGGCAAAACCACGCCTGCCTGGTGTCTTGTCATCCACAGTAACTAATCTGTTCTGCCTTTATGACAAGTGATGATTATGTTGCGGTGGAGCTTGACATGGCGAAGATAGGCCCGAAATTCTAGAAACTTGTTTGGTCAACTGTAGCGCAACTGGCCTCCGACTGTTCAAGAAATTGGCTAGCTTGAAGGTTGCTCGCAATCGGGCGTCACCCGTTTTGCTCAGCTCAACGACGCAAGAATGAGCCACACTTAGTGTCGAGGGCGCTTGAACCCCCTTGATTATTGGCCCAAATTAAGAGGCGAGGTGAACTCCTCGTGTCACCTCCTGCACCTTGGAGTAATAAATCCAAAGAGTTCGATTCAGAATCCGACCTTTCACACCACATCTGATTCCTGTCGCCTAACAGCCGAATCACGTGAATCATCATTGATCAGCCCGTGCTGACTGTGTCAAGCTGGTTGGCACGCCAGCGGCAATTTCTCATTCCCTGCTGGACTGAACACGCACGCAACGGAAAGTACATACACACGCACTGGACATGGTTTACACTTGGGACAAGTCACATATGTATTCATGAAACTTTTTATCCTTCATTGAACTTAGCGAGTTTCTACTTACATACATAAGATTGAAAGTCTCTAGTGCAGTTTACGGGCAGGGCCTATACAGTAACGGTGGTCCTCTTCTCTCGGAAGCACCAAGCATCACGCATTTGCCGGGCTGCTGAAATTGAACAAAAATCCTTACTGCAGAAGTGATGTCATCAGATCTTTTCACGAACCTGACGTGGATTACAGTCACCAGAAGGTGGCAGCAGTTATATCCTAACAGCTCCACGTTCTCATGACGTCATTGTGCCAAGCGCGGCTGTTGGTGGTACATATGGCACAAAACTGTATGTATTATGGTCATTCGGGCTAAATACGATGCATCCTACAAGACTTCATGACTGGGTGGAATGCTGGGAGAAGCGGAGATACACATCCATGGGTGGGAGCAGCAGGAAATGCAGCCAGGGGAGCAGCAGGAAATGCAGCCAGGGGAGCAGCAGGAAATGCAGCCAGGGGAGCAGCAAGAACTGAGGCTGGAGGAGCAGCACCCGGGAGAGCAGCAGGGGCAGCAGCTGGGCACCTGGGTGGGTGATACATGGGAAGTCATGGGTGTAGCGAGCCCACTTCGAGTGGAGCAGCAAGAAATGGAGACAGATTTGGTGCCTGTGTCACAGCTCTCGGGCCACAGTGGGGAGCACCAACAAGATCTTTTTGTTCCTCCTGGGGAGCTGCAGATAGGGGAAACGGATCAGAGAGGGCAGCAGCTGCGTGAGCTGGGCGCTCAGGCGCAGGGGCCCGTGGACGATCAACTGCCACGAGGCAAGGGCAGGAGGCGACGCGGAGGCCAGGGCAAGCAGCGGTCGGGCAATCAGCAGGATCAGCAGGCAGAGGGCGAGTTGGGGCGGCCGCTTACGAGCCAACGTCCGGGAGGCCAGCTGGTGCGACGGCGGCCACTGTCAGGGGAACAGGGAGTGACTGCAGCACCTGAGGGCGTGCAGCAGGCAGGGGGACAGCAGGGAGTGACTGCAGCACCCCAGGGCGTGCAGCAGGCAGGGGGACGACAGGGAGTGACTGCAGCACCTGAGGGCGTGCAGCAGGCAGGGGGACAGCAGGGAGTGATTGCAGCACCTCAAGGCGTGCAGCAGGCAGCGGGACAGCAGGGAGTGACTGCAGCACCCCAGGGCATGCAGCAAACAGCGGGACAGCAGGGAGTGACTGCAGCACCTGAGGGCGTGCAGCAGGCAGGGGGACAGTAGGGACTGATTGCAGCACCTCAAGGCGTGCAGCAGGCAGCGGGACAGCAGGGAGTGACTGCAGCACCCCAGGGCGTGCAGCAGGCAGCGGGACAGCAGGGGGTGACTGCAGCACCTCAGGGCGTGCAGCACGCAGGGGGGCAGCTGGGGGCGAGGGCAGCACTTCAGGGCGTGCGGCAGCGGCAGCACCAGCGGCAGAAGCGTCAGCAGCAGCAGCAGCAGCAGCAGCCCCCCCCGATCCCTCCGGAAAGCCCCACACCGGGGGTTGCGGAGAATTCAGCCACTCCTGACACGGCTCCACTTGCTCCAACTTGTGTCCCTTGCGAAATCTGCTTTCACACATTTCCGCCTGGTGGTGCGGCCTCCCGCCACATAGTTGCATGTAAAGCGGCAGATGCTCAGCGGCGGGCTCAGGCCCTTACTTCCTCCCCGAACCTGAGCGAGGTCTTCGGGGCAGATCCAGTACCTCCGCGGCATATCGGCGAGGAGGTGTGGGGGGCGGTGCCTTCGTGGGACTGGGAGACTTTTTTCAGTATTCATTCTGTGTCGGGAGAGCTTCTTCGTCGGGTCCCGCAGCGGGCGCGACTGGGGGTGCTTGATGCATTGTGCTGCATTCTCAAGAGACTGAAGGCTTCCCCTGGGGATGAGGCGGCGACGCTGATGTTCCTGGCCTTCCCGCGCCTCATTTTGGGAGTCCCCGCGAAGGAGGGTCTTGGACGAAGGGCAGCCATAGTAGGGCGTCTCGGAAAGTTCTGGGCAGGGGAATGGCAACAGCTGTTCGAGGCTGCCTCTGCCGCGTTGACTCCGGCGGCGCGACCTCTTGCCTTCTCCTTACCTGAGCGAGATGCTGATGCCATCCGTTTGGCCCGATGTCGCACGAGGTGCCAAGTGGGGGAATGGAGTCGAGGACTAGCATGCCTTACTGCGGGCGACTTGGCGCAGCCCTCTCAACTAACAGTAGACCGGCTGACAGCAAAGCACCCGGCCAGTGAGGTGCCAGTTCCTGAGTGGGTGGAGCACTTTCGCATAGACGTTTCTCATCTTCCCCACCTAACTGAAGACATCCTCAAGCATGCTATTCATTCCGCAGCGCGAGCCTCAGCACCAGGCCCCTCAGGATGGATGACAGAGCACCTCCAAGACACATTTCTCTCGGAGCCTTCCTATCTCCCGCATCTGTTGGAGGTGTTCAGGCAGTGGATTTAGGGATGCGTTTCTGAGCGGGTGCGGCCCTGGCTTGCAGCCTCGAACTTGGTTGGGTTATCCAAGCCGAACGGGGACGTCCGCCCAGTGGCTATCGGAGAGGTGCTCCCTCGGATTCTGGCGCGTGCGTTATGCGTTCTTCTTCGTCCCGACATGGAGACCTACTTCGCTCCTTGTAACCAACTAGGGGTGGGGACTAAGTCGGGGGTGGAGATTCTGGCGCATGCTTTCCGCTCGGCTGTAGCGGTTCATCCGACGTGGTGCGCGCTGCAGATCGATGTAGCGAATGCCTTCAACTCGTTCCATCGGCACGTGATGTTCGACGGCCTCCGCGATTCTCCTTTTGCTGGCCTTATCCCTTTCTTACGCGTCTTTTATGGGGTGCCCAGCGGTCTGTACCTTCGCACAGGCCCCTTTGTCGAGATGCTGGCGTCCGAGCGGGGTTCGCGACAGGGGGATCCATTTGGTCCCTTCCTTTTTGCTTTCACGCAGCAGTTGGTTATGGGGCCTACAATGAAGGATTTCCCTGATCTTCTTTTCTTGAGCTACGCTGATGACACCTACGTTCTTGGCCCGCGGGAGCGGGTGTTGGCGGCGTACGATGTCTTGCGGGAGCGACTGGAGTGGGTGGGCTTGGAGGTGCAATCGCACAAGTGTAGGATGTGGGAAAGAGGGGAGGCGGCAGCGTCTGGGGATATTCCGCTGGGAATGCAGCAGTCGTGGACGGGGTTAACAGTGGTGGGGGTACCTATTGGAGAGGAGGATTGGGAGGTGGCGCGCTTGAGGGAGAGACTTTTGCAGCTGCGATCACCTCTACCTTGGCTTCCTATTTTGAACCACCCCCAGATTGCCTCCCACTTGTTGGCTGTTGCCGTATCTGCGCGGCCGCTCTTCTTGACTCGCACTGTTCCCCCTCGTCCTGAGGTTCTTGACGCTTTCAGAGATTGGGATGGGGCTTTGGAAGAGTGCTTTGAGCAACTTTTCCCGCCAGACACTTGGGACTTCAGTCCTGATAGGTCGCGCATGGCTCACCTGCAGCTGCACCTCCCGGCTCGTTTGGGCGGGTTTGGCATTCGTTCAGCAGCAACTCTTAGCCCTCTCTCTTACGTCTGTGGGTGGTGCCAGGCTGCGAGTGCTGTTGTCAAGCTGGGAGTAGCGGGCGAGGAGCAGATGTTCAGTGAGTTCTTCCGCACTCCGCCGGCTGGGGATTTACTGGACCCTTGGTTTACCAAGGCCCTTGACCAGCTCCCGCCTGTTGTCAGGCAGGAATTGCCGAGTTTGGGGCTCTGCACTACAAATCCCCCCCTCCAGCTTTTCCCAGCGCAGCAGCGTCGCTTGGCGGTTGAAAGTCTTCAGTCTCTGCGGCGCATGGCCCGCGATGATGCTACCTTGGCCCGTTTGACTTCCCTTCAGGGCCCGGGTTCGGCAGCATGGGTGTCCGCAGTTCCAGCGCATGATGACGCAACTTTCACCCCTGTGGAGTGGGGCATTTCGGCGGCAATCCGTTTGGGCCTTCCCGTCCACCAGCTTCTGGTTGCTGGCAAGTGTGTTTGCGGTGTGGAGTTCAAGGACCCGTCAGATCCGCACCATGCTCTTCGGTGCAAGTACCAGTACGCCCCGTCTCGTGTTCATGATGCAGTGAAGCTCGTTGTTGCTAAGATAGCCAAGGCATCGGGTGGGGTGGTTACGATCGAGGATGACACGCTTCTGCCGGGGAAGAGAGTGGATGTGGCGGTTAGGAAACCAATGGACGGGGAAAAACATGCGCTCGAGGTGAGCGTCGTGGATCCGGTTTCGCTACCGGTGCAGCAGCATGGGCAGTGTGGGCGGACAGTAGGTTTTGCTGCCAAGGAGCGAGAGAAGAGGAAGGCGACGGATTATCAACCTTTTCTGCGGCAACACAGGGGGGTTCGTTTCTTCCAGTTGATTCTTGAGACTTGGGGTTGCTTGGGGGGAAGCTTTCGACAGTGGTTACGGCAGCAGGGGGAGGTTCAAGTAAAGGTGGCTCTTAACAAAGGTGTGGGAAGGGGCAACTGAGAAACTGAACGAGAATGAATTGACTAAGGGAAAGTTGGGTACAAATGTAAACCCTAGAAAACTGTACCCCATATGTGCTACCCCACTATAGCCTACAGTAGCTATGTCATATAAATCTGACACACCCCCATAGGCAAAGTGGGGGAGAACAAGGGGTCACAAGACCAGTCAAGCAAAGCAAAGCAAGCTCAGGGTGGATCACAAAGTCACCACACATTCCGAGCACAAGTTCAAGGCTACAAGGCCAGTTCACATGCAGGATTATATATATATATAAGGCTAGACAAGCAAGAGCAGGTGTATATATATATGCAACAGTACAAACAAGGTCAAGGGGTGAGCAAGTGAGGCAAGGTAGGCACAAGACCGAGCTGAGTACAGAAGCGCTGATGATCACAAGGCGCAAGTGCCTTGGTGAAGATATCAGCAGTGTTGGCCTGAGAGGCCACGTACGCAAGCCGCAGCTGACCACGCTGCTGTAGCTCACGAGCAAGGAAGTAGCAGAGAGCAATGTGCTTCGTTCTGTGCTCCAGTCTCTGCTCTCGACACAAGGCCAGCATGGCCTTGTTGTCTACGTACAGCACTGGAGGAGAACGAGGCGGCTCTCCGAGGTCAGTCAGCAGGTAGGTGAGCCAGCGAAGCTCCTGTGCAGCCATGGCCCCGGCGTAGATCTCAGCCTCACAACTGGAGCCGAGAACAGAAGACGAGCGGGTAGCCCGCCACGAAACACAGCCGGAACCAAGGCTGAAGGTGTAACCCTGTGACGACCGCTGCGTAGCCTGGTCGTCAGCCCAAAAAGCGTCTGCGTGCCCAGTGAGGACCACTGGACTCTGCCCTCCAAGCACAAGCCCCATGCCCGACGTACTGCACAAGTAACGCAACACCCTCTTCGCTGCAGCCATGTGCTCCGGTCTGTGTCTCCCAGGAGCAACATAGCGTGCGAGAATGCTAAGAGGGTATGCGAGGTCAGGTCGTGTGCAGGACATCAGGTACATGAGGCAGCCAACAAGCTCTGGGTACGGGCCACTCGACTCTACGGACTCATCCGAAGGCAGAGCTGAGAGCGAGTGGCGAGTAGGCAGAGGAGTGGCCTGAGGCGAGGAGTACGTGAAGCCGAAGCGCTGAAGGACCTGCTGCACCATGTGTGACTGAGTCAGGGTAATGGTGCGGCGTGCTCTGTCCCGGGTGATCTGCAAGCCAAGGTAGCTGCGCAGTTCACCCAGGTCTGTGCACGTGTGTCTCTTCTGCAGCTCGGACTTCACGTGGGCGAGTCCAGCAGTGTCAGCTGTGGCAAAGACCAAGTCGTCGACGTACACGAGGATGTAGAACGGCGGCAAAGAAGTGTCGGTGCGCAGAAACAGCGACGGGTCGGCAGTAGAGGGAGCAAACCCAAGAGCCCCTAGAGCAGCAGCCTCGCTAGCACCTAGAGCAGCAGCCTCACCAGTACCTAGAGCAGCAGTCTCAATGCCCGGGTCGGGCGGAAAACACCGGTAACAGTCACCCTCATCACTAATAGTCACAGCATACATGGCAGCAAGAATAGCATCAAAGTCAAGGTCAAAGACAGCTACACCCGCCCTAGACAGCTCGCCCCAGCGGGGGATCTCAGTGGCCTCAGGGAACTGGTGACACCAAGCGTCCGTCAGGCGGCCAAAGCAGCGCTGGGTGGAGTGCGCACCCCCGCACTGCTCACCCGCGCGGTCGCCGGTGCGTAGGACGTAGGTGCACGGACCAGTACCCCCACCCCGCTGTCGTGCAGCGTA